CCACACATGCTCCCACACGCCTGTGCGCCCCCACCCCACCCCCCAGGTGCACGCCACCGGGCTGGTGGCGCGCGCGCTGCGCTCGGCGCAGCACCGCCAGGATGCTGCGCGCCGCTCTGCAGACATGACGGTGACGTCTGACCCGCGGCGGGGGGTGACGCAGGTGGGGCTGGGGTGGGTGCCTTGGGGGGTAACTCAGGGGCTGGGGCTAGCTCGAGGGCTGGGGTTAACTCAGGGGCTGGGGAGGCTGGGGAGGAGCCATGGCTAGGTCAGGGCAGGGTACGGAGCGGCGTGGGGTGGCGCGGCCCGGGCCCAGCACCGGGGCGCAAGGCAGCTGCGTGCCTGCCTGCTTGCCGGTGTCCGCCCCTTCCCCTGCTCTTCGCCCCCACCCGCGCCACCACCGCCGCCGCCGCACGCGCCCCTGCACCACCCACACCCACACGCCCGCAAACACCCCTCCCCCACACCACGAACCCCCAGATTGAGCGGCGGGAGAAGGTCAAGGCGGAGGCCAAGCTGGAGGTGGAGCGGGCCGAGCTGCTGCGGCTGGCAGGCAGCAAGTGAGGCGCCGCGCCCGCGCCCGCGCCGCGCCGCACGGTCAGGCCGCGGGGAGGCTGCTTGGGGCATGCAGGGTGGGGTGGCGGCCCCGCCCCGCTGCCCCCGCAGAAGCGGGAGCCGCGGGCGCGGCGCGGCAGGCAGCAGCGGCGGCCCGGCGGCTGCAGTTTCGGCGGCCCGGCGGCTGCGTGCCGCGCGCCCCCTCCCTGCCTGCCCGCCTGCCCACCCGACCGCCCGCCTTTCCGACCGCCTCCGCCCTGTGCCTGGCTGGCGCCTGCCTTTCTTTTTTGTGCCTCCCGCAGGAAGGCGGATGAGGAGACGAAGGAGCGAGCTCAGAAGGCCAAGGCTGAGCTGGTGGGCAAGCAGCAAGCCAGCCTGGCCAACGCGGCGGTGGCGGCCACGCTGGGTGGAAAGTCCAAGGGCAAGGTCAACAAGTGGGACAAGTGGGCCTCGGCGGGGGCGGCAGGGGACGGCCAGGGCGAGGGCGCCGCCGCGGGCGGCGCCGCCGCGGGCGGCAAGGGCAAGAAGGGCGGCAAGAAGGGCGGCAAGAAGGGCGGCGGCGGCGCGGAGGACGGCGAGGGCGGCGAGGGCGGCAAGGGAGGCGAGGGCGGCGCCGCCGCCAAGGTGGAGAAGGTGGGCGTGGGGCGGAGGGGTGGCGGTGGGGGTGCAGAACGCGTGGGGCTGCCCCTCCCCTGTAAGGTGCACGCTGGCTGCCTCGTCCTCCCCTGCTGTCTGCTCGTCTCCTGTGGCCCAGAGCTGCATGGGAGCAAGGCAAGAGCCGGCCACCTCCTCATCCCGCCTCCCCGCCACGGCTGCTGCAGGCGCCCGCTGCGCGCGGGCTGCTGGCGGGCGGCGGCGGCGGCGGCGGCGGCGACGACGCCTCCACCATTCATCTGCGCGACGTGATTGGCACGCTGGAGCGGGACCCCATGTACAGCCGCAGCGGCCTGCTGTACCGCCTGTACAACACCCCCCGCGCAGGCACCTCCACCGTCGCCCCGCTCTAAGGCCGGCCGGCGCAGGCGTGCAGTCAGCAGCAGCAGCCCTGGCCGCAGATCAAGTGCGACGGTGTGCTGTAGCTTGTAATGCAACGTGCAGCTGATGCTAGGGGCAAGCCGTAGGCCACGAGCGCACCCACCAGGCGCTGGGCGTGAGGCGGGCCTGCTGGGCATGAGGCGGGCATGATGACGCGAGGTGCGTGCACGCGCGCCCATCTGCGAAACTCTTTGAATCCGTTCCTGATATAGTTTCATTGCTGATACGGAACCGGGACGCGGTCCTACTTGGGTCTATCGTAGCACTCACGAGATGAAGCATGCGCGGGCCCTCACCCTGCCGTTTTGCCTCGCAATATGCCTTTTAGTGCACGTGGAAGGCTCGGGTGAGGGCGCAAGGCCATGAGGGCAAGGGTGCCTTGGATGCGGTGACCGACGCGCGGGGCGCGCGCCCCGGCCCCGCTGCTGCTGCTCATGCGTCGAGGGTGCCACACAGCGCTCATGCCCTGTTAGGCTAACGGCTCCTGGCCAACCAGACCTCACACCCTGCAAATACCATGCAGATCAGGAGTCTGGACCAGCGACCTGGAGCGAGCTAGCAACGGTCGACGACAGCAACGGTGTGCTGCGGCGTCTGGCTGCCAGCCGCACCATGCGCCGCCAGTGGTGGCTCGCCTTCCATGCAGCCGTGAAGTCGGCCCCGGGCAGTCTCCCAGGCCATCCCCATGCCTGCTGTTGCCCCTTGCAACTGCAGCCACCTGCTCCGTGCCTGACCCAGCATGCAAGGCGTGCGATGCCGCCGGGGCCTGCATGGCCTGCAAGAGTGCTGGTGACGTTGTGGATCCTGCCACCAAGATGTGCCGACCCTGCCAGCAAGCCCACCCAGGCTGCACGCAGTGTGGCAGCAGCGGCGCGTGTACCGCCTGCACCGACCCCCTGTACACCCCAGATGCCGACACAGGAGGGTGCCGCCGCAAGGCCTGCGCAGAGGCGTTCCCGGGGTGCAAGGCGTGCAACAACACCCGCATCCCGGGGGTCAGCATGCCGTGGCACTGCGCCGATTGCGGCCCCGACGGCATCCTGTTTGTTGTGAACGGCCAAACCCTCTGCCGCCAGCGCACCTGCCAGGAGGCCCACCCAGGCTGCAAGCAGTGCGGCAGCAGCGGCGCTTGTACCGCCTGCACCGACCCCCTGTACACCCCAGATGCCGACACAGGGGGGTGCCGCCGCAAGACCTGCGCCGAGGCGTTCCCAGGATGCAAGGCGTGCAACAACTCCCGTATCCCGGGGGTCAGCATGCCGTGGCACTGCGCCGATTGCGGCCCCGACGGCATCCTGTTTGTTGTGAACGGCCAAACCCTCTGCCGCCAGCGCACCTGCCAGCAAGCCCACCCAGGCTGCAAGCAGTGCTCCAGCGGGACGGGGCACTGTACCGCCTGCACCAACCCAGATTTTGTTGTGGATGGCAGCCCCGACCCCAGCAACACCACAGTTACATGGGGCTGCCGCCAGCGTACCTGCCGGGAGGCCTTTCCTGGGTGCAAGCGGTGCGCGATGCTCAACGGCAAGCGCGCATGCACAGGCTGCGCCAAGAGCAGTGAAACAGTCGACGCTACAACCGGGAAGGCAAGTGCATGCATGCAGCAGCAGCCTTGGTTGCATGCGCACTCAGTCGGGTGTCTGCTGTGCTTCCGGTGCTTAGCGGACACCCTCTCGCCCACCTGCCAGCTGGTGCCTACTGGTCCGCCGGTTTGCCTGCCTGCCTGCCTGCCTGCCTGCCTGCCTGCCTGCAGTGTCGCGCAAAGTCCTGCCAAGAGGAATGGGCGGGATGCAAGTCATGCCGAGTGGTGGGCTCCAAGCGGGTCTGCGCCATGTGCACCAGGGTTGGGTACGTGCCAGACGCAACAACAAAAAAGGTAAAAGTGGTAGCGGACAGGCGCAGCGTTGACGGAAACGTTCTGACTGATGCACTGCTGATGCACTGCTCATGAGGAAACACTCTGAGATGAGCAGCGCCAAATCCGTTCTGCCCCAACTTGCGTGCAGTGCCGTAAGCCATGACAGCCACGGCGGTGAGGGGCAGCTCCCAGGAAGCTCAACCGAATGCGCAGGGATGCGCTGTGCCCTGAACATGCACATGACCACTGCTTCCGACCAAGTCAGCAACAGCAGACGGAGCAGCCGCCGCCGCCGCCGCAGCAGCAGCATTGGCTTTCACTAATCGTGATGCCACGAGATCCTTAGAATCGCATCGGCTGCTCAGATTACTGTGCCATTCCGGTACCAGAGACGCTGTGCGTGAGGTTGTAATTTTTCAATTTTTACACAAGGTGGGGTATCGGCGAGGAGGCTGCCCTTGCCGCTCAGTCTCTGGGAGATCAGCGGGCGCTGTGCAGCAGCGGGGGTGGTGACAGCTCGGCCAGCCCAGGTAGCCCCATGCCCATGCTGGGCAGCCCGGCAGAGGGCCGAGCGGAGGCTCCGAGTCCTGCCTTGGTGTGTGGTGGTACAAAGCACGCCAGGTGCGCCGCGCTGTACATCATGCGCTGGAGACCCGCACGCTGGTCGCCTTGCTCAGCGTGCCCACATCCCTCTCAATCTCCGCCAGCTGCTCCTCCATCTCCTGCAGCGGCAGGCGGGAGGGGCAGAGGGGGGAGCTGCTGGGGCACTGAGGCAACGATCCAGACGCAGCCCAGCAGGGCCCTGCGCCTGTCCTTGTGCAGCCTGAGCCGAGCACTGGCAGGGAGCGTTTCAGCGACGACGATGACACCGGCCCCGCTGCGACGCCCGCCCACCTCCTTGCGGCGCCGCTTGGAGGGCGTGTCCAGCACGCAGGGCAGGCGCACGTAGGCCTCGTTGATGGACTGCCACTTGAGCTTGAGGTGGCGGATCAGCTCCGCCAGCTCCTCGCCGCTGATCACGGTCACCCCCGGCTCCTCCTGCAGCGCGCATGGTGGGGTGTCTGCTGGTTTGGCAGCACACCCTGCGGGGCTGCTGGTTTGGCTGCTGGTTTGGCGGCACACCCAGCTCAACTTGTGGTGGAGCCACCTCTTGCTCTGCACCAGCCAGCGGCAAGCCAGTGGCACACGCCGCTCTGCCGCGCCTCCCAGGCTCCCCGACTGGCGTGGTCTCGCCGCCGCTGCTGCGCCGTGCCTCCCCGGCTCCCTGCCGCCGCCGCCCCACCCACCTCTGGCTGCAACCGCGCGCGCTCCTCCGCCTCCCGCCGCTCCTCCAGCTCCTTCTTGCGCTGCCGCAGGTAGGGAGGCAGCTCGCCAAAGTGTGGCTTGAACACGTAGCGCACCTGCGGCATGAGGAGGGTTCTGGCTTGGGTGGGCAGGCGGGCAAAGACAGGCGGCATGCGTGGCCTGCTAGCAGCAGCAGCAGGCGGCTGCACGTCTGCCGGGACCCTCTGCATGCTGGGGTGAGGCCCCCACCTCGTGATGCTCCCTGAACTTGGGCTCCGCCGCCGCCGCCTCCTGCACGTTGCTCTGCACAAAGTCGCGGCCGCTGCCAAGGCCGTGCGGCGGCACGTCGTCCTTGGCCGGCAGCAGCGCCTTGAGCCGCTCCTTGGGCGCCGGCTTCTGGGCTGCAGGGGGCGGGCATCCAGCCAAGGAAAGATGGTTGCAATGGCAAGTTGCTGCAGTTTTATTCCAGCCATCGCTGCCGACTGGCGCAGCTGCATGCCAGCCTTCAGCCAACGCAGGCAGCAGTGCAGGTGAGAGCCCCGGCCGCCCACTCACGTGGCGGCAGCTGCTGCTCCTTCTCGTGCGCCTTGAGCCACTTGCTGGAGCTCACCAGCTCCTCGCCGCTGCCGGGGCCCATCGTGCCCCGCGCCCGGATGGTTTTGTCACCTAGCAGCGAGCAGGGCACGGTGCGCGGGTCCACCGCGCCGGTGCCGGGCTTGCTGAGGCGGGGGGAGCGGCGGGTGGCCGCCTGCCCCGCCGCAGGCCCGTCTGGCGTCGCCATTCGGCCCTTGCGGCTTCGTGGTTGCGCTCCGCTGCTGCCAGGGCCAGCTGCGGCTTCGCAGGAGACGGGAATGAGATCCCTTCCGGCGTTGACCCCGCCTGACCGAGCTCCCTGCTGCCTTACAATTCTGAGCAGCCTTCTGGGTCGCAAGTTGAAGTTGCGGAAGGCCTGAAAAGCGGCTGCGTTTGGCAGGGGCAATACACCTGTACTATCCATTCTTCAACCGCGCGCCTAGGGGGCTTCGATCGTGCCCACATCGCTTCTGCGTTGATCAAGCCCTCAAATGGTGGCCACACAGTTTGCTTCGGCCCGGCTCCGGCTGGCAGCCAACAGCAGCCGCAGGTGGGCGCCACAGCATTTGCATCCTGCTTGTGCGATGCCTGAGATGCTCAATTTGCGGCCCCCCCAGGTTCACCCCTGTGTGTGGGTTTTCTCTGCCTTGCAGCACCCAGCAGCATGCACGCCGGCAGCTCGCCGTGCAGTGCGTGGCGGCTCCCGAGCAGAAGGGTGAGCTCCAGTGCAGCGCTGGCAGCGGCGCACGCCGCATGTGTCGCCATGCGCCGCTGCCGCCGCCGCCGCCTCGCTGACCAGCCGGCGCCGCTCGCCCCCCCCACTGGCGCGGCGTGCAGTGACCACCCGCGTGCAGCGCAACAAGAACATGGGCAAGCTGCAGGCCGGCTACCTGTTCCCCGAGGTGTGTGTCGAGCTCTTTGCGCTGGTAGCGGCACAGCGGCGTCTGCCGCTGCAGACGCCCAGACACCGGCCCGACTTGGCTCGCGCCGGGAGCCCTGCCCGGGCAGCAGCCAGCCGCTGCGCCATCTGCGCCGCCTCTTTAGGCAGCCTGCATGCACTGCCCTACCCCGGCCAGTCCCCACCCACCCCTGTGCCTGCCGCCCGCGGCGCCCCCGCCGCCGCGCCCGCAGATTGCGCGGCGGCGCAAGGCGCACCAGGAGGCCAACCCCGAGGCCAAGATCATCTCTCTGGGCATCGGCGACACGACTGAACCCATCCCACCCTTCATCGCAGACGCCATGCAGGCGGCCTCCCAGGGGCTGGGCACGCCGGAGGGGTACAGCGGGTGCGTGGGGGCGCCCTCGCTGGGGGCCGACAGCAGAGCGGGGCTGGCCCGAGGCAGCTGGGAGGCAGCTGACGGGCTGGCATGTGGGCTGCTCGTTTGCCGTTTCGGCGCACGTGCAGCGGTGGCGAGCCAGCGGCGCGGCGGGATGGGGCGGCCGGGCTGGCGCGACAGGGGCTGCGTGCCGCTGCCCAGCCGTCCCTCTCCTGCCTCCCTCGCTGCCGCCGGCTGACCCCCCCCTCCCCCTGCCGCGCAGCTACGGCGCGGAGCAGGGGCGGGGGGAGCTGCGTGAGGCCATCTGCCGCCGCCTGTACGAGGCGGTGGGGCGCAAGCCCAACGAAGTCTTTGTGTCGGACGGATCCAAGTGCGACATCGGCCGCCTGCAGCTCATGTTTGGCGCG